TGAAACATGTAGGGAAAAACTATCACTACCAAATATTAACATGTGCTTGTAAGATAAAGAGTTAATAACACAACTAAGATCTCAGTCATATACACAACAAGACAAATCTAAAACTTCATACACCATAATCTCATTGCATGTTGAATCCCTCTATGATACCATCAATAACCCAATTGCACATGACACACTACCAATAACAGAAAAAAAAAAGGACATGTACTGAAGATTAAAACAATAACAATGCTACCCAAAAGAGAAATAGAAATTTAAACCAAAAAGAGTATTTAGTTAGACTATCGCTTTTAGATTTAGTACTTAGATTAACGTTATTACAAAGTTGCAAACATTTATTTTTGTAACAGTTATATATAATTAATCTCTCATATATTATCTTTCATTTATATACTTTAAATTACCGATTTAAATAAACAAATTCAACATTTATTTACTTATGTATGAACATCTTCTATATAATATTGCATTGATATACTTTGAAATACTTATTTAAAAATAATTATTGGGCATTACCCTATTCGCGCAAAGCGCGTAGAAAAACTAGTATATATATTTTTTTTTTGAACAAAACTAGTATATATATAAACTGAAAAATATTTATTTTTGGGCTCGACGTTTGACGGAAGCTTATGACATACCAATCATTATTGGTCCACACAAATTGTGTAGACCATATTTTATATACTATAAAATAATGTAATACACAAACAATGTACTTTTAGTATATTAAAAATGTATTTAAAAAAAAATACATTATTTGAATACTAAATATACATTATTTTATATAATGTACATTTAGTACACAAATAATATATTTTTAGTACATTAAAAATATATTGTTTTTATGGTCCATGTAACACTATGTGGATCATCAATCGTTATGCTGTGCATCCGTATGCACCATGCATAGTGCATACGGATGCCAAACGACGTCGTTTTATTAAAAAAAACGCGCGTCTCCCCTTTACAAAAAATTAAGGTTCGATTCCCAGCAACAACATTATATTGTTCATTCATTCTGGAATTTTAGTTCATAGATTATGGAATTATAGTTCATTGATTATGGAATTATAGTTCATCGATTATGGAATTGTAGTTCATCGATTCTGAAATTTTAGTTTATAGATTATGGAATTTTAGTTCATTCATTCTGGAATTTTTAGTTCATAGATTAGATTATGGAATTATAGTTCATCGATTATGAAATTTTAGTTCATATGTTGTTGCTGGAATCGAACCTGATTTTTTTTTTTTAAAGGGAGACGCGCGTTTTATTAAAACGACGTCATTTTTACATCTGTATGCACCATGCATGGTGCATACGGATGCACGGCATAATTTGCCGTGGATCATGGTTCACACAATAATTTGCCATGAACCAATTTACGAAGTAATTTGTGTTTGTACAAACAAAAGTGTGGCTAAGCCCATCCGATTATGGGCCTATATTGATAAGTTTCTCAACTAAATTAGCAAAATGGGCCAAAATATATTATTGTAGCATTTACAAAATGTCTAATATCTCTCGCAAATTATACTGTTTATTAGGTCCATCTTATATTGTAGATCTAAGTCCATAATGATATCGTTTTGTTTATATTAACATGGCCTCTTTATTTTATTTTTTTTTTCTTTTCTTTTCTTTTCATTTGGCCAATATTCACTTTTGCAGTAAGTACATAATCTGTTAATTATATGCACATAAATTTATATATGTAAGTACATAATTTATTAACTATGAACGTATCATATCAAGTAATTATAACCTTGTTCTAAGTTCATAATATGTTAACTATTGGTACAATAAACCTATAGCTAAATGTTCATAATTTGAGTGTGACATATAATCATATGACTATGGTATAGTTTTAAAAGATATTTGGTCAAAATTTAAGTTTTTATTATGTTCTTGATGTATTGATTTATACATACAATTAATATATTATATACATGTATTTCTAACATTGTTTCTAATTGAACAACAAACAATGCCACTAAAAACAACGTTATCAATTTATGTAATTTAGAAAACAACATTGCTTTGGATCATGATCCATTTTGCAAGCCCGCATAGGTAGCTTAATTGGTCATAGAGGTGAAACTTTGGAAGAATGACCAGAGATTGAGTCTCACCAGCGGCATGCTCTGTTGGGGTTCAGCCTTTTGGAAGAATGATCCATTTTGCAAGATCAATCTTTTTTTTTTGGTGAAAATGCAAGATCAATCTTAATCCACTATACAAGACTTTGAGCCAAAATAATTCACTTGATATGATTAAATTAATAAAACCAATAAACATAATGAATTAAATCATTTTAGCCATTTCATAACAATAACTCAAAATAATAGAATCAAGTATACTGTTCGGATGACATGTAGTGACTCTCCCATATTGGGAGGTCATGAGATCCAGTCTCAATGGAGGTGATGTTGACTCTTTGTGCTTCAACGAGTTGAGAAAGTATAGATGAACAGATAATACAATGTAATAGAGTCAATAGTGTTAAATATATATATATATAATTGGCCCACACACTAAATTAATAAATTCCCTAAATTCAAATGACCCAATTAATGTACATTTCAGACAAATATGCAATCTTTTTTTTTTTTTTTTTTTTTTTTTTTTTTTTTTTTTTTAAAGCAAAACAGCGATGGACTTTATATTAAAGTAAAAAAGGGAGAACAAAATCCGGAGGGACAGTCAGTACAAAGAATTAACCTGAGCTGTGGTTTTAGATGTCAGAGAGTGTGCAATCAAATTAAACTGTTTAAAAACAATGAATAAAGAGCAATAAGTAAACGAGGCCATTTTGTCCTTGCATTCGCCAATTACCACACCAACATACAATCTAGGTGGATCCCCCATAGTAACAACGTGGCGATGAAGAACTAAGCAATCAGTGTGAACAACTACTGACTCGACCGCTCGGTCTCCTAACCAAGTAGTGCTTCTTTGCAAATATGCAATCTAAATCACTTGACTTCACACTTTTTTTTTTTTTTAAAGTAATATTGACTCTTTTACAATGTATCACGCTTTTTATTTATTCTGATCAAAATCCAAAAAATTGTTGTGAGTTATAATGTTTCTTCGTGTGGTTAATCTTCGGTAAAAGTTTTGTTACACAATCCACGATAAACAAAGAGAGGAAAAAGAAAACTGAAAACTAAAAATTGAGAGAAAATAGAATGTTTGAGGAAATCTCATTTCTCAGGTAACTGAAAAGTTCATACAACATGTAAAATCCTAAAATCTAGGAAAACTACTAAACCACTAATGGCCCGTTTGGTTCACGAAATAGGCCGGGAATGGCATAGCATTCCCAGTAACAGGCATATTCCTTTGTTTGGTAACCATGTGTATTACCAGGCTTAGTATTCCTAGTAATAGCGCATTACCTCATTTGAGGTAATAGCTATTACCAGGGTCCCCCCTGGTATTAACTTATTCCTGAGCGCTCAGGAATAGAATTTTTTTATTTTTTCAATTTTAACCTTTATCGTTCTCTGTGTTCTCTCCCTCATCTACGATTCCTTCCCCGAATCTTTTCATCATCAGCACCAATCAAACAATTCATCCACCATTCTGCATCAATCAAATAATTTCATCCGTCATTCTGCGTCAATCAAACAATTTCATCTGCCATTCTACATCAATCTGCAATTCTCTCTATCATCTACATCATCATCAACAACAAATTAAAGCTTCAAACAAGATAAATTTCTGCAATTTAATTTTTATAAATTAATATTTAATTATATAAATATATAATATATATACTGCATATATATATATATATATATATATATATATATATATATATATATATATATATATATATATATATATTACTGCTGCGGCTGCGGCACAATGCCGCGCCGCAGCCGCAGCAGTAATATATATACGGCAGTAATACATATACTCCGTATATATTACTGCTGCGGCTGCGGCACAGTGCCGCGCCGCAGCCGTATATATATTATATATATTACTGCTGCGGCGCGGAGGGTTCCGCAGCCGCAGCAGTATTGGTTTTTTTTTTTTTTTTTTTTTTTTTTTTTTTTTTAATTACTGTTTATTGTTTTTATATTTTATTTTATTTTTGCTGCAAAAGTGTTATTGTTTATTTTGTTTTGTTTTTTATTTTTTTATCACAGTAATGTTATTGTTTGTTTTTTTTTTTACAGTAGTGTTATTATAATCTGTATAAGTTATTGTAAATTTTAAATTTAATTTGCAGCTATGGCTCGATTGCGTTTAATAAATCATACTGAAAGAAGGAAAAGATGTGTAGCTGTATTGCGTGTATGGTTGGATATGTGTGCTTCTGTGAGTTTATTATTTATAAAGATGATGTCAACTTTGACAATTTTGTGTTCTAATAAAAAATGAGTGAAATCTTATATAATTAACACTTTAGGGTCTCGAGAATATATGTTACGAACTGTGTATTCGTGTGATGAAAAATGCATATTTCAACTTAGGACGAATCGACATACTTTTGTGAAGTTGTGTGCAATGTTACAAACTATAGGAGGGTTAAGGCCAACAAGAAATATGCTTGTTGATGAGCAGGTAGCAATATTTTTACATATTATTGCTCATCACGTAAAAAATAGGATCATTCAAAATAATTTTCAACGGTCGGGGGAAACTTTTAGTCGATATTTTAATATAGTATTAAATGTTGATTTGAAACTCCGAAATCATTTATTCAAAGATCCTGAACCAGTCCCAGCTACCTCTACAGATCATAGATGGAAATGGTTTAAGGTAGTTAAACATATCCCCTACACTTGAGTTATAAGTTTAATTACAATGTGAATATATATTTAATAATATTTGATATTGTTTCTAGAATTGTCTAGGCGCTTTAGATGGAACTTTCATTAGAATACAAGTGTCATCAGAAGATAAGCCTAGATATCGATCTCGCAAGGGTGAAATTGCAACAAATGTATTAGGTGTATGTACACCTAATATGCAATTTGTGTATGTTCTTCCGGGATGGGAAGAATCTGTAGCAGACAGTAGAGTTCTTCGCGATGCATTATCTAGAAGGCATCCACTTAAGGTCCTTAATGGTAAGCATTATAATATTAAATTCCAAATATCATGTAATATAATATGCATTCTTATTAAACTATAAACTGATGTTTCTAGGTTGTTACTACTTAGTTGACGGAGGATATGCTAATAGTGAGGGATTTTTGGCACCATTTAGAGGTCAAAGATACCACTGAAATGAATGGCGGCAAGGTCATCAACCCGCAACTCCTCAAGAGTTCTTTAATATGAAACATGCAGCTGCTTGCAATGTAATAGAACATTGTTTTGGGTTATTGAAAATGAGATGGGCTATACTTAGAAGTCAATCATTTTATCCTGTTAGAATACATAACAGAATTATACTTGCATGTTGTTTGCTGCATAATTTTATTAGAAATGAGATGGCTGTTGATCCTTTGGAAAGTGAATTCGTACAAGGTAACGACATACATGAAGATGATGATGTTACACAAATAGAGCCTTCAGAAGTTTAGAATAATTGGAGGACAGCATTAGCAAATGACATGTTCAATGAATGGACAACATCTAGAAATTAAGGACATATTCATTGATGTTTGATTTTGTGATTTGGTGTTTTTTGTAATGTGCTTTATGAACAATGTGTTTGAGTTTGATTAATAATTTATTATTTCAATTTATTTGTAGTTAAGAATGACTTCTCCCCCTACATCTGCAACTATCGGCTCTCAAACTGTTAAGCAAACAAAAAGAAAGTGGACACCCGAAGAAGACATTATATTAGTTTCATGTTTGACTGAAATGCATAATGTAGGAAAATATAATTCCGATACAGGGTTTAAGACAGGTTATTTATTAGAACTTGAAAGAATGATTTTGGACAAAATACCAAATTGTACCATAAAAGCTAAGCCACATATTGAGAGTAGAATTAAAACTTTGAAAAAAGAATGGGGCATTATTCATGATATGGTGCTAGGTAAGAACACTAGTGGGTTCGGTTGGAATGACCAAAAGCACATGGTGTATGCTGAAGATGCAATTTGGGAATCATACGTAATTGTAAGTATTTACCTTCTTTTTTTTTTTTTTTTTGTACTTTCATTTATTTTTATTAATGTATACATACTACTAATTTATTTATGTTTATTATAGAGTCACAAAGAAGCTGCACATTTTAGAACAAGAATCTTTAGGTTTTATAATGAGTTATCTGCAATATATTCTAAAGATCGTGCAACTGGAAAAGATGCACAGACAGCAGATGATGTAGTTGAAGAAATACAAGCTAAAGAACAGAATGATATAAGAGCTGACACGGAAGATAGTGCATTTGCTGGTTTGGATGATATTGATTTAACGAGTACACAACCTGAGCCACAAAATGATGGTAGAAAAAGAAGTAATTCATGTAAGAGAAAGAGAAGTCATGATGAAGCTATTGAGATATGTGCTGAGAATATGCTTAATGCTGCGAAGCTAATAAGCAATACAATGTCAGAGGTTGGTAAGAATTTGTCCGATGGTCTTCAATATGATCGTGATATGGATATGTTTCAGAAGCTTGAACGTGCATTAAAAGAGGTTGATGGTTTGGCAAATGATGAAATGGACATTGTTTCGTTTAAGCTCACTGATCATCCTAATAAAGTAACTTTTTTTCTCAGTCTTGATCCTGATCGAAGACTACCGTGGATCAGAAGATTCCTTGCTATCAATTAATCATTCTTCTTCATAGTTATATTTTATGAACATTGGGTAACTTTCATTGGATTGTTTTGAGTATTTTGTTAAAAATAACATATGTTATGCTTCTTTTGAATATTGTTAAATGTTCTTTAAAATTTTTTGTTATTTACATGACTATTTTGCTTCATAATTTATATATCATTGCTTCTTCTTCTGAATAATAATAATAATAATAATAATAATAATAATAATAATAATAATAATAATAATAATAATAATAATAATAATAATAATAATAATAATAATAATAATAATAATAATATTATTATTATTATTATTATTATTATTATTATTATTATTATTATTATTATTATTATTATTATTATTATTATTATTATTATTATTATTATTATTATTATTATTATTATTATTATTACTTTTTGTACAAGGGCATTTATGTCTTTTAAACATATATTCTATTCCTATTCCTTAACCAACCAAACATTGGAATATAGTTCCCAATGTCTATTCCGTGAGCGAACCAAACAACAGAATACAATTTCTATTCTATTCCTTACCTATTCCATTCCTTATGGAATAGCATTCCTATTCCCTCCAAATTGATTCCGTGAACCAAACGGGCCATAAGGGTGTATTTGGTTCGAACATGGGAATCGGAATCTTGGTAATTGGAATGGGTTTTGGTGAATATAGTTTTCATGTTTGGTAGTAGGGTGGAATTAGAATGATTACTAATATTGATGTTTGATTATGTATGACCCTATAATCAGAATAAAATATTTTAAAAATACAAAAAAAAAAAAAAAAAAAAAACAAAAGACAAAAATAAAAAAAAAAAACAAAAAAAAAATAAAAAAATCAAGGCAATTGATCTTAAGAGCGACGAGGAAGTGAGTAAGTAATGCATTGAGGAAATCGATGAAGTGAGGAGACGACGAAATGAGGAGGAGATGAAATGATGAGGAATAAAGTTGAATTAATGGAACGATACCTTATTTAAATTAGGTAATGAGTTTTGTAATTATAGGAATAATCAAATCTTATACATGTGTTTTAAAAAGTTGTCAACTAAACAATGTGTGTGACTTTTATTTCCATTCCTTGTGTCTAACCCCATTGATGGTTATTAATGGGCGGACCCTCCAAAAATTAGGTTGATATCGGATAATGCGTACGAAAAGCATATTGGATTGACAAGGCATAAGGCCCTTATAGTATTATAAACGGGCTAAAAATGTACTAAATAAACAAATGGAATGAATTTGACCCAAAGAGCCCAACTACTAAGCCTAACCACAAGTGGTCTGCTGGAGGTGGTTGTGGCGCCATGTATTGTTATCCCATAGGGCATAGGTTCAAATCCTCCTGCTTGCACTTTTTTAGCTTAATATTTTATTCTCTCATTTTGGTCACCATGTTTTCTTCATCCTTAGCAATAAAAATGACCCCCCCCCCCCCCCCCCCATTGGGCCAAGACTTCCCCAATAAAATAGCCCCCCTAGGGTAGTAAATTATACCGTGCACCAGGGCGAACAATGCATTGTGCGCCCTGCCCCAAAACGACGTCGTTTTGTACCTTTTTCGTGTGTCTGTTGTTAACCCCTTAAAAAAATCATATTCCAAATGTACATAATTGTATAATAGAAAACACAGAATTTTATACCTGAAAATACAGAATTTTTATAATTGAAAATCCCCATGTTTCGAATGTACAGAATTATATAATAGAAAACACAGAATTTTAAACCTGAAAATACATAATTTTTTTAAAAAGGATTGAAATATCTTGTTTCGAATGTACAGAATTTTATACATGAAAACACAGAATTTTATAACAGAATACAAAACGACGTTGTTTTGGGAAGCGGGGGCGCACATTGATATGTGAGCCCTGGTGCACGATATAACGATTGCCCAAGGGTCACATGGCGCCTTCACCTATCAACCAAACACACCCTAAGATAATGGCCATATATTTAAATTATTTATAACACTCTCCATTGGACATTATCTTACCAAAATCATGCCTCATTATAAACCTTGCTAGAAAAACCTAGTAAAGGAAAAGAGTACAACATGATGTATGTATATCAAGGTATTCTTCTAAACTTTTTTTACAAAGTATATATATATATATATATATATATATATATATATATATATATATATAGGGTTGAGTTCAAATGAGGACAACAATATATAGAGGACTGTGAGGACAAATAATGAGCACATAACAAATTAATATCAGGCACACAATTTAATACATAATGGCACATAAGAATACATGTAAACATCAGGTTTCGAACCCATGCTTTATTAAATAACAAATCTATGCGCGCGACATACAAACTGTGGCACACGACTTCATTCGGCCATGCACACAACATACAGTCTAATGGCACACAATACATTTGTTCTCATAGTACTCTATAATATACTTATCCTCATTTGAACTCAAGTCTATATATATATATATATATATATATATATATATATATATATATATATATATACATACACACATACACATATATATACTGTGCAGTTGCGGCATCAAGTTGCAGCTTTGCAGCAGTATATAATAATAATAATAATAATAATAATAATAATAATAATAATAATAATAATAACAATAATAATAATAACAAAAATAACAAAAATAACAATAACAACAACAACAACAACAACAACAACAACAACAACAACAATAATAATAATAATAATAATAATAATAATAATAATAATAATAATAATAATAATAATAATAATAATAATAATAATAATAATAATAATAATGATATATTTTGTAAAAGGGCATTTATGTCTTTTAAACATATATTTTATTTCTATTATTTTAACCAACTAAACGTTGGAATACAATTCCTAAAGTTTATTTCTTCAGCGAACCAAATAATAGAATACAATTCCTATTCTATCTATTCCTTACATATTTCATTCCTTATGGAATAGCATTCCTAGTCCCTCCGAATTCATTCCGTGAACCAAACGTGCAATTAGTGTTTTGAAGGACTTTTAACCAAAGTGGTAGTTGCATTTGAGCATGATTTGGAGATTTTTTTAGAAGAGTGTTGCGGCGACTAGGCACTAAGGAGGTTGCACAATCATGGTTAAACTTCTGCACCTTGCATGACCGCTGCACGATCTTGGCAGCATTCTTGGGAGCGCCATGAACGACTGCACGATCGTGCACGAATTCGTGGCGGGGGGGGGGGGGGGGGGGGGGGAACTTTTATTTAAAGCTCGAAGTGTTGATTTTTTTATGAGAGCTAAGAAGTTAGTTAGACTAGATATTTTTCAGAGAGAGAAAGTACCCTAGGTCTTTGTAACTTAACAAACTACTTTGATCTTGGAGAAGGAGTCTTGATTGATTGAAGCATTTGTTGATTGATTGTCACAATTGAGTTGAAATTGGTAAATCTACACCTTTTCCATTTAAATTTCAATATCATCATCTTTCATCTCTTCAATTCAATGTATTTTCAATTTTAGAATATGAGTGGCTAGAATTCCTAAGGGATTGGATTAGCATTTACTTGTATGGTGCTAGTGTGGATTTGAATTGTTGATTTGGAATTGTGTTTGTGTTTATTGATTGATATCATGATGAAAGTGGGAGATTTGATTGTGTCTTTGGAGTTAGGACCCAATTCCTTGGATGATCTAGGACTTAGCATGTTTGACAAAAGATTGCTACATGCTAGAGCCTAAATCTCACTTGCATTTCCTGCTTTAGGTCCGAGAGGGCAAAGTCCGGAATGAGGTGTAGGCAAAGTGTTTGATGAAATGTTTCATAGGTGTAACATTGTCACTTGGGTGCTTTATTACACCATTATAGGCCATAAAGATCTAAAATGACTATGGCAATAGCACACGCCTCACTTGAAGTCAAATAAACACAATCTTCCAATTCCTAGCATAGACACTAGAAGCACCATCACAAGAAAAGGCTAATCCATACCCCATTTCATCTCAATTGTTTAGTTTGTTTGATTGATTCCTTGTTCACTCTTGATACTTGCTACTTCTTGCTCAATACTAGCACATCCTATGGATCTTGCTCTTGAAAGGCATCAACACTTGTTACACACCAACACTTCCAAATTTGTCATCAGTTGAGAATGACATTTAAGGAAATCTTCATTCTCCACCCCTCTTTCCATCCACCGTTACATTCACATCCACGTCACTATTGTTATGATGTATCAACAACCTCAGCCATACAGACTATCGTGAGGCCTCATGTAACACCCCAGATTTTCAAGACTTTTAAAACTTATATAATAAAGGTAAATTCTCATTAAATCCCAAGCAGAGCAGTACTAAACATAAGAATACGGGGTGTTATGCCACATTTGAGCTGGAGAACTCAGATGCACAGGCTAAACTATCTAATCATCCTCAAACAACATCATTACATCATTATGGCACGCAGGCCGAATAAGAACTATCTATTTAAGCCTTGGGTCCCCTAGCACGCTTCGGAGCTAATCGTCTGTGCCTGAAAGCCAAATATATATGTTCAGCGAATAATGCTGGTAACCCACTCTAACACGTTGAAATACCGTATAAGTATATATATATATATATATATAGATATAAGAAAACCCATTTTGAAGCAGGAAGATATATCCTAGGAAACTCTAGTTTCAAAACCGGAATAGACTCGACAGATAGGGATAAACACATTTAACAGTTATAACCAAGCATGTAAAGATACTAGCATATATCCTATGGGATAAGCACATTCAGCAGTTATAACCAAGCATGTAAAGATACGAGCATATATCCTATGGTCACAGATTCACTTCATCTCATTTATATCATCATTCATCTCATCACATAAGCACACTTTGATGGCGCCACAGGACCAATCGCATGCCCATACATGAGTGTAACACCCCTGATTTTCAAGACATTTAAAACTTAATAATAAAGGTAATATCTCATTAAATCCCAAAGCGTAACATAAGTGTACGGGGTGCTATGCCACA